ACTGTTCCATTATTCACTAATCATCTGCATTCCCATTTCTTGCCTTGCTGGCTTTCATTGATACACAAAAAAGTAGGGCTGCATCACTGATCACAAAAAGCCCAAGAAAATGCAGAATTGATATTTTAATAATCTCAAGAAGAATATATCTAGGAAAATGTGGCATGAGATATGCCTTAGAGAATGCAGAAAGAGGTATAATATTTCCTACGGAATGCATATAATCATCCCAGTGTGTGATATTGCAGCAGCAAAGCTGCCATTATATTCTTTTCCTCATCACCAATCTTATTTCTCCTCTTCCCCTCCAACATCCCCATTTTTCCTCCTCTCCTCCACTTAATTCCCCCCCCCCTTGTTTTGCCACTTCATTATCAGCAACAGCACTGGTGTTTTCTCTGCCTCCTCCCTGCCTCACTCTGAGGAAGGACCAAGAGGGTTCTTCCTCAGAGTGAAGCATTCTGGGTGAGATGGCAGAGAAAGTGCCACAGTGGCTAGAAATGCTGCTTACATTTTTTTCTATATTTAAACCAGAGCCACAATGTGTCACTGCCATTTACAAGCAGTAAGAAGGGGGTGGGCAGGAGGGACGTTAGTGCAGTGAAGGTGTGCTGATGGGAGCACCAGGTTAACTATTCCAGTGCACCCACAGGGCACCAATTTCCCTTCCATCTTGCCCTTGCCCTTCTAGATAAGTGGCAGCAACACGCCTGCTGGGAAGGTGGCATTGTGGCTCCACCCTGATGAGTGAGCCACATCCGGTTCAAAGAACATTTCTCACTGTGGTGGCAAACTACAGCAGCAGGGCAGGCCCTCTCCCACCCACCAACCTTGGCCCTTCTTCAGAGGGTAGAGTGAGGCAGGGCAGGGTCTGCAGAGAGCCTTGCCAGATGAGTGTCTGGTAGCAGCAGCAATAATGAGAGCTGGGAACGCATGCAAGAGGAGGGGTCCAGGGAACACCAGTTTATCACCTTGCTGTGTCTGGCATTAATTACGTAATTTGTATTGTCATTACATTATTCCACCTCAATCATTTCAATGTGAAGGAAACACAATGCAGATAGGGTGGGGGGCATAATTAATTACAGTGGATACAATTAATAAATACACACCCAGCAACACAAGGGGAATAGTATGGTGGATATAACAAACGACTCAAGGGGTAGGAGCTGACTCCCAGTAGATTTATCCTGAGCATATATCCATACTTCCCCCCAAAAGCATGCTTTTGCACCTCAGCCATGATGAACATCCAGACTTCAGCAGTAGCCATCACACTTTGTAATGAGGGATGTGGTATAACGTAGAAAATGTTTCATGAATAAACCTAAACACTGTGGATTTTAATTCCTTTTTCTGAGTCATAATTGGTATATAGGAAGCTGCAAATATTTTTTTTAAATAATTCTCCATGGGATAGTGACAGGTTATGCACTTGGGCTGATTTTGTACCACTTGTAAAGGAGATGACAACCCTTGTATAAGATCTTTGGACATTTCTTGAAAATCCTCCCAATTAATCAAATGTCTGACAGATCAGACTTGGCTTGTGTTTGTTTGCATTTCATGTGTGAATGTGAGTGAGAGAGAAGTGGAGATTTAGCACCATCGATCATCTCTTTCCTACAGTTGCTTGGAGGAAGTTCCAAGAAAGTGACCTTCCCGACAGTAACAGTTAGCAGTGCTCCTTCATCAGCATTTGCAGAGACAGATATCCTTTAGGGCATCAAAGTGTTCCTTTTGCAAGTACTATTTAACTTCAAATTCCTGGTTTATTCTCATGACACTCAGAAAAAGCTGTTGCTCTTATACAGTGGACATAATTGAAATACTGGTTAGTGCAGAATGCTTATCCTTGAAAAATCAGTTATATTCTGCAGCAGATGAATGAAGTCCAAACAATGCACGCAGGCCATTTGCTAGGAACAGAAGCCTAGGGCACCTAGCATCTCCTGGTTGGCGTGGAAATGTCCCATGTCTGAAACCTAGAGAGCCACTGCCAGTCAGGGTAGACAGTAATGAGTTAGATGGGCCAATGGTTTCACAGCTTCCTATGTTGTCTGGGCTCCTTCAGAAGGAAGGGTAGAATATACATACATTTTTCTTCACTGTAAGGTAAAGGTAAAGGTACCCCTGCCCATACGGGCCAGTCTTGCCAGACTCTAGGGTTGTGCGCTCATCTCACTCTATAGGCCGAGAGCCAGCGCTGTCCGCAGACACTTCCGGGTCACGTGGCCAGCGTGACAAGCTGCATCTGGCGAGCCAGCGCAGCACACGGAACGCCGTTTACCTTCCCGCTGGTAAGCGGTCCCTATTTATCTACTTGCACCTGGAGGTGCTTTCGAACTGCTAGGTTGGCAGGCGCTGGGACCGAACGACAGGAGCATACCCTGCTGTGGGGATTCGAACCGCCGACCATGTGACCGGCAAGTCCTAGGCGCTGAGGTTTTACCCACAGTGCCACCCGCGTCCCTGCATTCTTCACTGTAGTAATGATCAAATACTGGTTAGGATTACTCCATAATTATGATGGGTCTTCTGTTTAGGCAATGAGATTGTGTAGGTCCCTCTCCTCACAGCAGCCGCGGAAGCTACTCATGGGGATTAGGGAACACCCCCCCCCAGTCCAGTGCAACATCCAAACTGTACAAGGGTTACAACTGGAATCAGAAATTGGCAAGTCCCCTGTAATTGTATAGCTGAGCCTACACATGGCTCCCTGGATCAGTGGTTCTGTGTTTAGAATGACTCCATTCAGTAAAAATTAAAGTTACATGGCTTACAAAAAACCCCTGAACATGTAACCTGATTTTTGCAAAGATCATGTTCATGGCAGGTACACTGAAAAACAATACCTCATACTTACCAAATGCTTATTTCCTAGCCGGAAAAAGCTTTGCAGTTCTATTTCATTGTGATTTATTTATTTGGCTTTCACAGAAGCTTGCAGTAAATGGCTTGTTGCTTTGGGAGTATTTGAATGGTTGTGACACCATATATCTCTCTCCCTCTCTAGGTTCTAGCTAAGTGCCTTGGAGGTCCAGGGACATCTGCTCAATTCTCTTGATAACATAGATTTTGTCTCATTTCCCCCCCTTCTCTTCCTTCTGCATTGGCAGAATCTGGCAGGGCTGATTCAAGAGTGCTTTAACACAGAGATGAAGGGCATCTTTAGAAATCTGAGCTGAATCTTCCAACTTTTAGGCAATTATTTCAGAAAACACTTTTGTGACCCCAAAATGCTCCAGTTCTCTATTGTGTCACTCAGAGGAAATAACCATGCACACTCACACAAATGAGTGCCTGGCGTGCTCTGGTCCATGGGGTCACAAAGTGTCAGACACAACTAAAGGACTAAATAACAACAACTCACACAAATGCTTGCAAAAGCTTCTAAGGAGTAATATACTCTACATCAAGAAGAGAACTCTTATGAAAACACGACATCACATCCAGTCTTCTCATCATGTATTGTTATTCCTGAAGGAAAATTCAGTTCTAATGGCCCCAGGGACCCCTGTGATTCAGCCACCTTCTCTGAATACTTTCAGACTAAGTGTTCTGGCAGCCTGGCTGAGGTTAGCATATTGCCTGACATGCTGTAGGTTTGGAAGTCCTTTACCTCATCATCCCCAGATGAGCCACTCCATTCTGTCAGGGGACAAGTTAGTGTTGCCAGGGCTGGTCATACTGTGTGCCTCTTGCCTCAGGTGGCAGATTGGGAGGGACAGGGTACAGTGTCCCCTGTCCCCATGGCTTGCTTAAGCCTCTGTTGCCACTAGGTACCCTGGACACCTTCCTGAATTGCCACTGAACTGCTGGAACAAGCACCTCCACCAACCACTGCTTTGAGTCCCCACCACACTGAGCCACTAGTGATGCTCTACACTGCAGCCTGCCAGGGTGCCATAAATCCTGCTACCCACCCAGGCTCCTGCTGCGCCAGACTAGGGATGGGGGAGAAATTTATACCAGGCATGCCCCCTCACTCTTTGTTGGAAAGGGGCCAGCAAGGTCCATTTATGAAAAGGATCCTAGCCCAAATCCACTTGAGCTGGGGAGCCATGAAAGGTTGCTCTAAGTACCCCTATCTTCACCCCTCTGAGGTTTATCATTGTCTCCTCCATCTTTCTCCTTCCCTCCAATCTCCACCAAACCTGCCAGTTATGACCTATTTATATGATGAAAACATAATGGCAAATGAAAGTAACTGGTGACTACAAAACTAGTGATTGGCTCAACCCTCTAAAGCCAAAATCACACATACTCTGTACATACTCTGTATTCTGGGGAATATCACACACACACACCCCAGCAGATCCATGAAAACTGTTCAGAAACTTGTCATGTATTAGATGCCTATCTTGATACATTGAATGTGTTGTTTTCTCTTCAGGAAATGAAAATCATTGATATTAATTGCATCCCTAGTTGCCACAGATTTAAAAAGGCACATGTACATCATATATCTTCAGTGAAGTACCAGATTTTTGAGCTATGACTTGTTAATTAAAATTACCACTAAGCGTTTCTGTGCTGCTACATAATGAACCATAAAGTGTGGCAACAGTGTTGTCATTACGAACCATTTTGGAGTATCAGGTGATCAATATAAAGTTTATAGTAACATGGGAAAACCAGTCCATTTGTTGGCTGTCCAGCTTTTAAGACATGGTTATCAAATCGACAGAAATGTATTTTACCACCAGTGGAGACTTTGCTACTTAAAAGAATCCAAAAGCATTAACCAAGCACTAGTAGTTCAGTGCCTGGAAGTATTTTCCTCCGCAGTTCAGAAGGTTGTGCATTTGCCATCTGTGGAGCTGTGATATTTTAACTCTGTATTCATTTCTCTCTCAGTAGGGTTGACCAAGGTTTTATCACTTAATTTATCACCTTGGCTGCATCCAAGGAACATTCCAAAAGTGGCTGAAATCATAAAAGTGAATGAGAAGTTCCACACGCCTGCTAAGTCTGGTGCATGTAGAGGTGCTATGATTACTCGGCATCCGTTACTTTTCACATTTCAGCATCACTTTTTCCAAATAGCCATTTTTGCAATGTTAATTAATGTCACAGCTTGCTGGGCACATTTGACAGGACAGAATTTACGTGGGAAGTTATTGGATGTACTCTGGACTATAATTAAGTAGTTAGCTTTCTGTCATTCTTCTCAGTGTCAATACAGTTCTACTGTCTTGGAACTATACATGTTCACACCAGTAACTCATTTATAATAAACGGTCCTAGCTATGGTGAAAGATCTGTATAGCTTATTACACCAGGATACCAAAACGATAGCAAAAGCAGCTCATTTATTCTTCTCTCCAACTTTCTGCACTTCCTCTTCACTTTCTTCTTCAGCTTCAAACTCCTGTTACTCATATTAAACCAGTTGTGGCCAATGGGGGGGTTATCAAAAAACCAACAAACTAACTTTTTGGTTCAGCTGCTTTTCTAGGACCCCAAAAACAGGAAGGGGCAGGGGATTGAAGTTATCATTCACCTCTTCTGCCACAAATAGATATACCTGGATGAGCTCCATACGGTTTGATTGGCCACAAGTTGTCAAGTCTTGATTTAGAGGCTCCACCACTTTGTTTTACCTACATCTGTCATTTTGAATTCCCCTTTTGGCTCCTATTGCCCTATACAAGTTTATCACACACACCCCTTTGATTTTTGCTGTCCACTGCCTCCATGCCTTTCCCCATTCTGTTTAAATGGGCTGTCTTTCGGGGATTAGCTCTGCATCGGGTCCTCGTGATCCATACTGCATGCAGCTCAATTGTGCTACAGATATGAGTTATCATAGTTCCAGTACAGCAGGAAGGATGCCTGCTTAGAAAAGGGGTGCTAATGAGCGAGACTCCTACACTGTATGTTCCTTCTTTTAGAAATGCTAAATCCATTCCACATCTTCTGGAATGAAAACTCCATTGTGCATATTTTGTGGTTGCTGCTTCTACTTTTTCAAAAATGCAGAGTGTTCATATAGACCAAGGGCAGGAAACCTTTTCAGTCCAAGGTCCACATTTGCTTCTGAAGAACCTTCCGAGGGGCACTTGTCAGTGTGGGACAGGGCCAGAGGCAAGACTAGGCAGAACAATATTAATATTTGTACAGAAGGTGAATTCACACACACACACACACACACACTTCCTCTCTAGTCTCCATCCAGGCAAGCAGGAATCATTGCCAAAGTTCAAGGACACACTCCAGCCAGGCAAAAAGTACTCAAGCCGGGTGCAAAGCAAAGCCAGTGAGTGGTGTGGCATGGGAAGACAGAGATGGCTGAGGAGGGGCTGTGTTCAGTGCAGAATGAATACTACCAAGCTTTTATGCTGGAATAAACCAGACCCTGGCTATTGCATTTTGCACCAGCTGATGTTTCCTTCATTTTAAACACAGCATGAGATCTGGCTATACATGTAACAAATTGGACATGGGTGGTGCTATAAACCACTGAGCCTCTTGAACTTGCTGATCATAAGGTCAGCAGTTTGAATCTGTGCAATGGGGTGAGCTCCTGTCACTTTGTCCCAGCTCCAGCCAACCTAGCAGTTCGAAAGCATACTAGCATGAGTAGATAAATACATACTGCTGCAGCAGGAACGTAAACGGCATTTCTGTGCGCTCTGGCTTCCGTCACAATGTTCCGTTGAGGCAGAAGTGGCTTAGTCATGCTGGCCACATGACCAAGAAAGCTGTCTGCAGACAAATGTCAGCTCCCTCGGCCTGAAAGTGGAGAGGAGCGCTGCAACCTCATAGTCAAATTCTACTGGACTTAACTGTCCAGGCGTCCTTTACTTTTTACCTTTGCCTTACATGTAACAAAAAGGAGTGGTAAAATTCCCTGTGCCCCTTCAGAATGGAGGTGCAAACAGCGGTGGAGCTAGCCGCTTGGGCACCCAGAGCGGCACACATGCCATGCACCCAGGGGTGGGGCGATCTGCCCATGGGGTGGGGCAATCCACCCACAGGGGAGCGATTGGCGTGGCAGCAATCCGCCCAGGGGGATTTTGTCACCCCCCTCAGGGATGACACCTGGGGCAGATCACCCCCACCGGCCCCCCTTCCTACGCCCCTGGGTGCGAAATCAAACCTTTTAATGTTTTCCCTTTTTAAACACAGCCTGCCTTTTCTCACACCACCTCAAAAAACTCCTAAATAGTCAGAAAAAGTGGGTGAGCTGGAACAATTCACCCTGTTGTGTTTCCATTTGCTGGGATTTTTTAAATGTAGTGGTGCGTTCAAAAGTGGCATCCTCGTATCTGAAGTACTGAAATCCTTTCCATGATCACGTTCCTACTTCACTGTGCTGCATGTGTGACCCAGCTTCCAACTGATAAGTCCCATTAGTTTCAATGAATTTAGACATGCCTACCTTTCTCCAGATTGTGCCCAATATATTTAATTTATGAGAGCAAGATCAGCAGCATCTACTTTTTATAGTGTCATTCTAATAATCCTTGGACAACAAGTTTAATAATAAATTGCCACAAATACCTATTTAGGTACTTCAGAGAGGGAATCAGCTTATAGTATTTTACTTGATACTTTTTATTTGGTTAGGATAGCTAATCAATGAGTTGTAATTATTTTCCAATTTGAGATAGAAGAGGCTAGAAACCCACAGAGTTCCAATTACTGTCATCTGCAAAGCAGGAATTGCCTGGTGGTGCCTCTGCCAGCCAATTGAAATGATAACACAGTTCAAATAAATTTGTGAGATGGTTTGTGTAATGAATAGTATAACTTTACCCTTTTATATAAAAATAAACACTCATACAGCATGTTTATACTTTTTTAAGGGTGTATTTCACAAAAGGTGATTTAGGAAATTATACACAGCTGATTGAAAGTTACTAGAGAGCAATTAGGAAATTGAAGATTTCCTTAAGACACAGGTTGATATGGCCAACAGCTACAAATGCTACTACTGAGCTTGATTTCCTCCACTGTGTGGAGAAATTATTTTGTGTGCCTTCTTGGTCTTGTGTACAGCTCTCTGATTTATATGATAAACTATCATACTGTGATTTGCTTTATGTGGGTCAATCTCTAGGAGACTAATTTTAAATTTATACATGAAAGCAAGTACCTAATCAATGATCTGCTTGACCTCTGGCCAATCAGATTATGAAAAATTGTTTGTTCTTGCGATACCATAACCAGAAGAACGAGCTTTGCTATCTGCTGCTTGTTACCAGTAGAGGGTGTCTCACTCTGTTCCTTATAACAACTGGAGCTGAGGTCTAGTGCTATCTAGTGCTTTAACTCTGCTGTTAGCATGCAGGCCAGAGGGTGTTTCACCTTGCTATTGCTGGTAATGCACTTTTAATAAGTTATTTTTATGCCTATTTAATTTTTTGATTATTACGTTCATTTGAACTGTCTTTTATGTGGATATTATGGACACTGATGGTTGGGTTTTTTTATTACGCTTTCTTGTGAACTGTTTGGAGCATAACAAGCATGAAATAACATAGTGAGCATGACTCTAAGAAACTGCCTAAATGTCCTTGAAATTAGGGAAAATACAGCGGACTGTGGTCATATATGCTTGTTTATGTTTGGAACAAACAAAAAAATCTGTGACAAAGTTCAAGGCCTTGCACTATTAACAAAAGTTGCAAGCCCATTTGGTAGTAGCTGCTAAGTGGCAGGTTCTGAGAGGAGAGAGAGGTCATCACTTTGAGAACTTATCAGGTGGGGCCTGAATCAGGTAAATGCCGTCTGATTGGTCTGGATGACAGAGGACTCTTGATTGGCTGGAGGTTCCAGTCAGTTGGGAATTAACTGTCAGTTGGGTGGAGAGGCAGTGGAGTTGAGTTAGCTGGAGGATAGGAGGGAAAGGGGTTGATAAGGAAGAGAATAGACCAGAGAAAGATAGGACTGAATATTTACAGCCAACAGGGTCTCTTGAGTCTTAAGAACCTATCAACAAGCACCTTTAAGACCGTAAGTATCCGTATTACCTTAGTGTATAGTATCTTGCTAATTAGCCAACAACCTTAGTTTTAAAAGTTCATTCTATCTCTTGTGTTGGTGCCCATCTCATGCCTAAGCCTAGCATACCAGTTATTTGGCACAAAATGTGTTGTCAGGGATACTGGTTCCCTCAGCATCATGTTGTATAAACATAAGTTTGGGTATCTATTTATGCTGCCCCAAATTAGTGAAGAAGCACAGATACCTAAACATTTTGGGCTGAAGTATTTGGCATATACGTACAGCTTGCTTACCCATCACTATTCATTACAAGTGGCATATTCTGGGTCAACTGAAATGTTCTGTATAATTTATGTGCTCAATTTCATACAGGTTAGGAAGAAATGCACACCATTATATTCACTTTTGGCAAATTAACAAGAATTCTTGTTATTTTTCTTTGGAGCACAGTCCTTTTGCCATTGGCTTATTTTAAAAATGTCCCTAGAACTTAAATTATAAATCCAGTAGTTCATTTCAACAAACCATTATACTCTGCACAGCACATGAGATTTATTTGCAATGAAGGTGGAGGGACGCTGATGAAGTTCACCCCAAACAACAAGCTTGTCATATTAATTTACATGGCTCATAATTCTTATTTAAATTGGGAGTCAGGAAACCTTATCCTGAAACTCTTGCTGCATTCATCACAAATAATGAGATGCATTTTGAGTTAATGTCCATCTTTTGTGCCCACATAGCAGCGTTCATATGACCAGACCAGCAAACTCAGGGGCCCTGTTAGTACATGCTCAGAAATCATTTGATTACTCCTTTCCAGGTCTCAAGGAGAAACTGCCCTACCTACCTAATAGCTACATTTTAATCCAGTGATATACCCATAGCTGTGTTTGTATTCATGTAATGGTTTCCTGCCACCAAGTCCAGCTACCCATCTCCATGGCTCCCACTTCTACTGGGAATTTATATTGCCTCTTAACAACAGCAGGCCCCATTTCCACATAGGAAAGAGTGGATAATGTGCACTCCTGGAACAGGTTCACAGTAGTGTGGCAGTAAAGTTTGCCACCAGTGGAGCTGCTGATAGCCCCTTCTCTACAATCCAACAACCAATTGGGAGTCAGGGCACTGAGGCTCATGACAACTGAAGAACAGGAGAAAACCATGGTTCCTGAGGCTGATTGGGGCTAACCCACAACCTGTGGCCAGATGTCATGATGCCAAAAGTTTTTGTGTGTGGACTTTTAAGTCCCCTTCCCCCTGCAATGTTTCCATTTTTTCATTAAAAGTTTTACTGACTGCTCTAATAAGCATGCTACTGTAACACTGTGATGCCACAATATGTTTTTTTTTGTTTGTTTTTTGGTCTCTCAAGATGGCCCAAATTTCTCCATTCTATTTTTTAAAATGAAATATTTATTTATTTTAATAACCACTTCCGTAGGTCCCTGGATGTACGGTAATTACCTGGTGTGAAAGATTTTTGTCAGACCCCCTCCCCCGACCCTGCACCCCAAATTTGTCCTATAGAAAAAAAATGGCCTCCATGCATTTACACTTTGCCCGTGTCTGCTTGGACATGTAGCCCTTGGCCCAAAAAAGTTTAGCAACCCCTAGTGTAGGTAATATACTTTTGCCTGCCCCCCGCCCTGTGCTAAGTTCGCAAACAGCATTGCAAGAGTGTACAGGAATAAAAATACTATGAGTCAGTTTAGAACTCTTGAAACATGTACACCCTAGGGTTGCACCACCACCACCAAATAATAAATGAACAAATTATTCAGTTTCTATTCTGCCTTTCGTAGAACAGTTCTAAGGCATGCTACACAAGAAGAGCAGGATGGATACCATCTTATGCTGCGTATCAAATATAAAACCACAACTAAAAATGAACAGCTCCTGTCCCTTCAACAGCAACCTGACTTAAGTAGATGATTTCCTGGCAGGAAGATAAAGTGATGGGGAAGGCTTGGATGATTGCCTATGCAGCTATAACCTCTGTTCCTCTGTAGAAACTCCATGAGGATTTAAGAGATTTATGCTATAATATCTCTCAGTTTTGTTTTGCATGATATTTCACTGGTTAGTATCATCTTCATTGTTCACTGGGGGTGCTTTTTTGGTTGTTTTATTACTGTAGTTGAAGTCAGGTTTCCTATTCCTAGCATCCCCAACATCATAAGTAAATTCACAGGATCCGGCAAAATGACTGAGGCAGGGCCTCTCTGGAGCTCACAATGGAGTTATTTGGCCCCTGTGCATTAGGGTGAATGGGAGGATGGGGGAAGGTAGAAACAGCTGTTAGTACGGTGGTGGGGTCAATATCATTGGCTGCAGAACTGTGTGGAGATCTTGCCATCTACACTGAAGTTTAGGGTCATGCCATCCATTGATTCTCTGTGTAACAAATACAACTGAGTGGCCTTCTCTCCGCCCCCCCTTCAATAACCACCATATGTAATTAGTTTCTTCCAAAAAAGAAGAATTTGACTGACAAAATGCCATCACCAATACTTCCTTGAATGATTACGAAACCTAACTATTTGTTAAATACATATACAATTGGTGCTGTATAAATGCTGATGTTTAATGTCTGAATACTTGTAATCTAAACAATGACATAAGACAAAGAAAGAAAGAAAAAGAGGGAAAATATGACAAGACACCATTAAAAAAGCTAGGAGAGGCAATATTACCCATCCTACACAAAAGTAAGCCCCACTGAGTTCAATGTGATTTATTCCTAAATAAGTATACATAGGAATGACTCCTGAATGTACTTAATCTCAATAGGTAAAATGATACAGACATAACTCATCCAAAGAAAATGGATTTTGCATAGAAACATAGGATATAAATGCTCAAAAAATAATGCACACATTTGAAAATAAAATAATACAGTACTAATAAATTATGGTTTTGAAAGAAGAGAAATTAAAAGACAGTAAGGAAGCAGAAAGCAAAAAAGACAAATACAAAGGAGACACAGAATAAATACAGTTAGGTTGACAACAAAATCTTAAAATGCTCAAGGATTATTAATAAACTTTTGAAAAAATCCATTTTTACAGAACACACCAGGTGAGAGAAATGTAAGTTAGCTGCTCAGTTGTATAATGGCTAAAACTGTAATTTATGCAGCTCTGGAAGCGAGCTTTATCTTTTCTCCATAGGTAGTAAGACAACGAGATGTAGAGGAGGTTGGGGCTCCTGAGCTTTTAATGGTTGTTTTGTAGAAAAAAATTGAACAGATACAGCTTTCCACACCTTTGCATGATCAATGGCATCTGCCCAATCCTACCCCTTAGTGCTCTTCTTCACTTTTTCAACTTTTTTGACTACTGACCCAGCCTTGAAGGTGTTAGCTCCACTGATGGTGGTTGCCTACTTATTCTGAAATGGTTTCTCTACCTTTAACAGTTTTCATTGCATAGCCTTTCAGTGATCAAGAGAAAGTTTCACCTGTTGAACTTGTCTGTCATAATGCAGATGTTAAAGATGCCAGTGCCATGGTGCTTTGTTTAAAAAAATATATCTGAATACCCGTAAAACAAGCTATGGGACTCCTGAAGGTGTGCATGAAAATGCAATCAGCACTGTCAACTTTTTAACTAGTGTAGTTCTTGTGCCATTTAACAGAAACTTGACATGAATAAATTTCACCAAGACAAACTATTGCAGAGACAGAATTATTTCAGCTCCTCACCTGTGTTTTAATATATTGCAGAGAAATATGAAGAGGCTAAACACCTGTAGCTCACTTGGTCCCCTTAGCACAGGTATGTGGGGGAGGGTGGAGATATACTATGTGAGTTGTATACAAGACAGCTAATGTGGTAGAGTAGATAGAATATTGGGTTGGGAAGTCTCGTGTTCAATTGCCCACCCAGCTATGACGGCTCACAAGGAGTGCCCCTAGACTAGTCACTGTTGCTAACCTGTAGAGCAGGTGTGAGAAAACTCAGGCTCTCCAGAAGTTGTTGAAGTACAACTCCCATCATCCCTGACCATTGGCCATAATTGCTGGGGCTGAAGGGAGTTGTAGTTCAGCCAATCGAAAGGGCCAAATGTTCCTTATGCCCACCGTAGAAGATGAAATGGAGGTACAGTATATGCTGCTTTGACCTCCCTCGAGGAAGGACAGGACAACAATGTAAGTACTGTACAGTGGTACCTCGGATTAAGAACTTAATTCGTTCTGGAGGTCTGTTCTTAACCTGAAACTGTTCTTAACCTGAGGTACCACTTTAGCTAATGGGGTCTCCTGCTGCTGCTGTCACGCCACCGCTGCACGATTTCTGTTCTCATCCTGAAGCAAAGTTCTTAACCCGAGGTACTATATTTGGGTTAGCGGAGTCTGTAACCTGAAGCATCTGTAAGCTGAGGTACCCCTGTAATAAAACGTTTAGGATAATTTGTCAGCTGAAGTACAGTGGGCTCACCACTTATGTGAGGGTCCAGTTCTGGGGGTCCACATGCAAAGACAAAATTGCATAAAGCCAGGAGCCTCTGGAATTGCTGCTCCTGCATGACCATCCCTACCTGTCCAAGTGGGCCTTGCCTTCTACCTTGCTTCCCTTGTACCTCCTCCCTAGAGCCCAGTAAGCATGGCGGAGGGCTGCAGGTTCCACCTCTTTTTGTTTATTTCTTTATTTGGCCAAGAGCCTGAGGTCACAATGGTATAAGTAAATTACTCATGATGGCTCACTGTATTATAAAGGGAGAGGAGTCTCATGACTGTTGATGCAATACAACTGGTTCAGTTCTGCAACTGTTGGCTGTTTTCTAAGAGGTAATTGGGAATTCCCATGCAATCTTGAAATGGATCCAATGGTGAGTAGAAGGCTTTGGTGAGACTAACATAACAGAATCTGATAGCAGGTTTTCAGGAGTGAACTGGAGGTATGGGAACTATCCCATTACACAGATCACACAGAGGTTGTATTAAACATACAGTAGTTTAGATGAAAATAGATTATGCTACTCAAGTACAGAGCTGGATGTTTTAAACAAAATAGGAAAGGGTAGGAGAGGAGAGAAGAGGATATGGAAGTCCTGTTGCACCAGTGGATCTGTGCTGGTACAGCATTGGCTACAACCCCAGGGACATAAATTGTGAAAACATCCTGAATTATGCTTTTCAATACCGCCTCATTCCCCCCCCCCCACACACACATAATTTTAAACTGAGAGGTCTGGATCAAGGGATGGGGAGAAATCTGCCTAGCTTTGTATTTTAATGCAAGCATAACTAATTCACATTTCTCACCATGCAAAAACAGAACACAGATATCCTGTGTGTTGTACTCTTGGGGATGGGACTTGGAGAACTATATCACAAACTTCAGAGAACCACAAATTTAGAAGTGTAGTTCTCCAGCCCCCCAAAATGTGCATAAAAGTAGACGTATTAGTGGAAAACATAGTGGAAAAATAAATAAAAGTATTCGTGAAAATGACATACAAAATGTACTACATTATGAACATTTCTTGCAAAAATGTTTATATTAAGAGAAACACACTGAAAAGTTGATCAATTTCATTACTTTTATTTTTTTTTAAATTGCAAGCTGATGAGACAATGACGCAAGCTTCCTGGATTCCAGAAAGTATATCCAGTCATCCCTATGCTAAGATAGAATACTTTTTCTAGTCTTCTGTATGATGAATTTTATTTTTGTAAAGGCATTTGGACACACAACCCTCTACCTGCATGCTGAAGTGGTACAGTCCAGGAAAGCTATTGCCACTTATTTCAGCTGCATGTATAAATTAGTCGAGTTAGAACTATTTCGAGATGACTTGCTGAGAAATGGTTTGATAGAAAGTGGTCAGTTAACTGTAGCAGTATGTTTTTCATGTAAAACTTGGCTCTTTGTTCCTCAGATAAATGAGTACAACTGTGTATGTACAAGAGGAGTGAGGGGCACTTCTTTGATTTCTATTGAGCTAGTCAACATGTTCCAAAAATTTAAATATTTAAAAGGTGTAGGATTTTTACCCAGCAGGAATTAACTTGGAAAGGACACTTTCTCTATATACTGATATGTAATGCCTGAGTAAATCATCTTGAAACTGCTTTGAGTACAGCAGTGAATTTGAGTGGGAAGACATTACATTTTCCATATAAAAGAATTATTGAACTGCAACACAAGATTGGTGCTGTGAATGTTTGATTCAACTATTAAATCATTTCAATCGGAAGGATGAATGTATAATATTTCAAGCCAAATCTCTAAAGAAACACACAGACAATCTTGCTATCTTGAAATTTTATCTACCAGATAAAATACCGTCCTATATCAAAGGTATTTTTAAGCTAAATTAAAATCGCATGGCTTGTAGCACCAAGCTTCCTTTGCAATTTGAGGGTGTATGTAAGCTTATTAAAGGTTTTGCCTTTAGAAAACCAAAAGGTACACTTGACTTTAGATGCTAACACACACATTTCATTGGTGATTTGGATTATTTTGCCTAGTTAAGCTAGTGAACAATATGTTTGGCTTGTGTTAAAATGCCACATATCACATAATAAGATTAAAATGGCAGTATATCATCAATATATGATAATTATTTCATTAGTTACAAAGTAGGAATGTTAAAGTCATTAGATTAATGAAAAATGCAAGATTTGCCCTGCCATCATGTGGTTCCAGGGATGCTATCCCAAGGACCATAGGACACATCAGATCTTTCTCTCAGAATGTAAAGAGGGAGGTTCTAAGGTGCACCCCCTCTCTGCCACCACGGAAACTTGTACGCCCCTTGCTATACCAACATCAAAAGCTCTAACATTCTTACAGTGGTTCAGTCTCTCCTCTCAGGGAATTGCAGCTCTATGGGGGCATGAGAGGCCTCTTAACAACTCTCAGTGCCCTTAACACACTACAGTTCCAAGGAGTCTTTAACAAAACCATGAGTCTTTAAAGTGGTATAAAATTGTTTATAGTGCATATGGGCCAAGGGCGACTCAGAAATGGATCAGGATATTTTTCAAATGCAGAGAAACAGATATGAGGCAAATCGGGGGGCCTCTGCACACTCCTAATGTATGTTCTTATTGTGATGGCATGGCAGACAATATGCTGACTTTTTGACACTTTAATTCATTGCCCCCGATGCTCATGAATCCTGGATAACATAAACAAAATAGAGTACACCCTTGCTCCCACCTGCCTAATCAGCCCAGCACAGTGTGAGACGAGGTAAATGAACCACCTTGTACGTTTTAATACGTTTTAAATAATTAAATTTGCTGTTTCTGAGTAACACTATGCTCTCTCTGCTTCAAACTTTGCTGCAGATTTGAAGCAGCTCTGCATAAAACAAAGCTCTGTGCTTTCCATTCATTATAAATCTATAAGATGAATCTATGAAATGATTATAGCTTCTTCCTTTTGACCAAAGCAGATAAAATTTACAGGCACAGATGCTCCTCCAGAGTGGATTAAGCCTGCCAAATTGCAGACAAATATTTCCAGGGGCTTTGGTAGGGGAAATGAAAGAGATTCACTTCCCTCCATAATTCATATTTGGGCAGTACCTTTATTAGAATGTGAACATGGTTTGTGGTATACAGGCTAGTTGAATAGTGCTTTTCTTTCCTGGCAAAATTCTATTGCATCTC